TATGGATGGAGCCCTCCAGAGCATCCCCGAGCCTGAGAAGCTGAGAGACTACTTCCCGACTCTCAAGGGACTACTTTGCCCCCACCAAGGTCTGTGACTTTGTCTTTTTTTTTTTTTTTAAGAGACAGGGTCTCACTCCGTTGCCCAGGCTGGAGTGCAGTGGCATGATCATGGCTCACTCTATCTTCCATCTCCCAGGCTCAAATGATCCTCCCACCTCAGCCTGCCGAGTAGTTGAGACCACAGTGGCATGCCATCATATCTAGCCAATTGTTTTTATTTTTTGTAGAGATGAGGTCTTGCTATGTTTCCCAAGTTGGTCTTGAACTCCTGGGCCTCAAGCAATCCTCTTGCCTCAGCCTCCCAAAAGCTGGGATTACAGGTGTGAGCCACCTTGCCCAGCCTAGCGACCTCTTCCTAAAAGCCCCTCTTGAAACAGGGCCAGTAAGACTCCAATGAGGCCCAAGGTTAAGGGATGGCAACTCTGCTGCAAACCCTGGCATTTGGAGCTCTAATTCCTGAGATAAGTCTCAGACCTCAGAGCCACACCACACATCTCACAACAGCCGCTGGTCCAGTGTGCTGGAGTTCTAACCGTGGGTGCAGAGTAGAGTGCTGTACACAGAGACCCCGCTGGCAGGAAGCGAGGACACCGAGCTGCCATCTGTTTTCATTAAGCCTTGCTGAGCGGGGAAGGTAGAAGTTATGTGCGCTGGGTTTGAAGCACTGCAAACATTTGTTTCTGAGTGGAAGGGCCAGAGCAGACCCAAGGACTGGCTGGGCAGGGTCTCCTGGGTAAGAAGTAGTGCCCCTCTGGATGTGTGGGGCAGCCTCTCTGGAAGGTGCTACTAGCCAACGTAGGTCGCCTGGGAAAATGGCCACTGCCTAACCAGACCCTCGGGATTCCACATCCTGACTGTACCCCACCTCGGTCTCTGCCTGGTCCATCACAGGTACCCAGAAAACTAGAGATCTTCCAGAGTGATGTTTTTGCCCTAACGTCCCCTTCAAGGTATCATGAGGATGCCCAATATTCCATTTCCTCCATCAAATCTAAATCCTTCTGCTCGGTTGCTAAGGGTCCCCACACTCAGATCCGACTGAGCGGCTCCTAGACCACACAGGGGACCTCCTGTGACACAACCACACCATTCTAAGCCTGTGTGTACCCCAAATCCCCAGAAGCCCTCACTCCTGCCCTCTGCTGCACCTGGCCACGTCTGGCCTTCACCCTCGTATAAAGAGACCTTGCAGGGGAGTCACAGCCGAGCTGTTTAGCAGTGCCTCTGTTTCCTTATCTATCAGATGCGGGAAATAAACGCACCCACCTCACGGGGTTGCTATGTTTAATCAGAACGTTCGTGTCAAGCATTTCCTGAGTAATGCTGCGCTCTGGAAATGGCCCCACCCGGCCCCAGCAACAGCAACCCAGGTCTGACTCCAGATCACATTCACCTCTTCCCTCTTCCCTCTTTGAATCTTTACACATACTGTTTGAATTGCATGATTACCATGAAACATTGCCCAGGTAGATGTCCATCTCCCCATTTGGGCTGCGGCGTGCAGACCTCCCACACTGTCACCCCTCTGCATTTCCTTGGCTCCTTTGCGGTGTCTGGCCCCACACAGCCCTGGATCTGGACTCAGTCATTTTCTTTTCATTAATCCACTGAAATGCTGTCACAAACTCCTGAACACTTTCTTTCATGAGGGGCTTCAGGGGGAAGACTGAAGAGAAGTTATCTTTCTAATACAGCACTCTGACAGGTCAACGGAAGATCTGATCACTAGAGCGTTGGCCTGCAGATGCTCACCAATGTCACATATTTAAGGAACAAAAAAAAGAAAAGGCTTTTGTTAAAATGACCTCTGAGAGGCAGCTGAGTTTTCAGTGGATGGGAGAATGCCATCTGGGTGTCATCTGACTGTCGCTGTTCCTTCCAGGAAAGCCCTGGAAGCCCACAGCGTGGCTAGCCCTGCCCGGGGTTTCCACGAGTTTCAAGAATCCAGGCTCCCCCACCGAGGGCCCCCAAAGCTGTGGTTAAAGGTTAATGGGCTCCCAGGGCAGCACCCAGGGTTGGGAGGTATATAAGAACCCATCAGATCAGTCGGACACCAGAAGACAAGCAGAGAGAGACTCCTCCAGACCCACTCAGACCACACGCACGCTGTAAGTAGCCCTCGGAGAAAGTGGGTGGGGAGCGGTCAGCATGAACCCTAAAGCAGAACGGTGGTGCAAGCCAGAGCCAGCCTGGTCCAGGGCCCTCTGCCACCTTCCAGTGCCCAGCTGGGCTTCACACTGAGTGCCCGAGCTGATTCCCAAGGCATTAGTGAGCAGAGGCAGGGCTGAGGCACAGAGGCTGGAGGGAAGCAGGTGGGTGCACCTCCTGGCAAAGCAGAGTCTGTTGTGGGTGAGTCTGGCACATCCACGGTGGGCCGGGAACCCAAGCCAGAGCTCATCATGGATGCAGGGCTCCTCTTGGCATGGTGGCTTTGCTCTGGAAAGGTAAGGAAAAGCTGGCCCTGCGGTGACTCATGCCTATAATCCCAGCACTTTGGGAGGCCGAGGTGGGCAGATCACGAGGTCAGGAGTTTGAGACCAGCCAGGCCAATATGGTGACACTCTGTCTCTACTAAAAATACAAAAATTAGCTGGGCGTGGTGGTGGGTGCCTGTAGTCTCAGCTACTCAGGAGGCTGAGGCAGAAGAAGCGCTTGAACCTGGGAGGCGGAGGTTGCGGTGAGCTGATATGGCACCACTGCACTCCAGCCTGGGAGACAGAGCGAGACTCCATCTCAAAAAAAAAAAAGAAAAAGGAAGGAAGGAAGGAAGGAAGGAAGGAAGGAAGGAAGGAAGGAAGGGAGAAAGAAAATAAAAGAAAAAGTTGACCCCAGGGGACAGCACATGGGGAGGCAAGGCTAGCCCAGCCAGGAGTGTCACAGGGGAGGGCAGACGGTCACCTCCGTCATGCAGAGCTGGGCACTTGAAGGCTGAAGCCCCCCATCTCTGATGATGGGAAAGGAAAGTTAGTGCCTCACTGTACAATGAAAAGCTCCCTCTCCCACTTCCAGCTCGCCAGAACACATGAACTTAGGTGACATGCCGACTGCCAGTTGGATCAAGAAAATGAGTAGCAATTGGATTTTACCTTTTTTTATTTAAAGTTTTGATTGATTCCTATGGAGTGAATTAAATACACCAGAATGAAACAGGATCTATAGCTTCTCTGAGAAGGAAATGGGACGCCATAAATGTGACACATCCATCTCTGCTTGGGGGAAAAGCAGGCCCCAGAGACTCTGCAGGGAAAGCACAGGAATGAGACGGGTCCCACCCACCTCAACCCAGTCTCCGTTCAGCTCAAGCTCCTCTGGGGCTCTGCACAGGGCCTCGGCTTCCTGGGAGGTGGTCTTGAGTGGGCAGGTGGTCCTTTCAGTCTGCTGGGAATTTGCATACAGCTGGGATGGGGAGGCTTTCGCTGTCTTAGCTCGCTTGTTCTTGTTCATGGAGTTTGAACAAAATTGAGAGAAAATAGGAAGTGGGAAGAAGAGAGAGCTGGAATAGTAAGAAGGCAGAGGGAACGTCTGGCTTGGCAGTGTGGCTTCAGATGACTGAGGAGACAGGTCTTGGCTGAGAGGCAGGATGCAAGCCTGCAGCCTTGGAAGGTTCTGTTCAAAGGGGGAGCCAGGTTGAGACCTGCAGAGGAGCCCTGAGGCCTTTCCAAGGCAGACCCTCTCCTGCTGACAGAATCCAGGCTGCCTAAGGACTGGAGGAGCCTTTATCTGAAACCTTGTGACTACCTCCACCCCTACCCCTACTGCTGTCTTGGCCTCCCCTCCGAGCTACTGCTGTCCTGGCCTCCCCTCCCTGCTCGGAGGCCTGGCCCCTGCACTCAGCAGTCCACCCAGCACAGGAACAGTGGTGCCCAAGATGCATTCAACAAGCCTGCCCCCTGTGCCTTCCTCCACCTGCTATGGGCAGAGGCAACATGGAATGGGGTATTGGGAAAAGCACTGGGCCTCAAAAGGCCAAGGTTCCAGCCCCTGCTGCCTTTGAATGAGTCAACCATGGCTGGCACTCAGCTAGGCCGTCCCACCCCCACCCCAGGACCACCCTGTCCCTGCCCAAAGTCTGCCCAGTGGATGCTTTCTTAAGGCTCTGTACCCCTGCAGTCACCATGCCGAACTGCTCCCCGCCATGACCGGAGCTCCAAAAGCCCACCACAGCCCAGTGTCCTGCCAGCTATTCTACACACACCTGCTTCCTGGTCAGCAATCACTGGGTTCCAGGGTGTGAGGAAAGACGAAGCCCGCTCCCTGCTGTTTCAGGATGGTGGCCAAAGGCAGTCAGACGCACTGGAGCATGGGGCAGGGGGCTTGTTCCCAAGTCATTGCTCCCCCAACAGGGAAGTGGGTGCCCTCTTGGCTCAGGGATACAGCTCCATGCTGAATTTTTCCATCTGGCTCATCCTTTGCAATGGTAGAGGTTCTACAGACCCAGGGTCCTGGCCTGGCACTTCCAGGCAGAGCCCTGGTCATCTGGGCTTGGGTCCACCCCTTTTGTCATTCTAATAGGCACTGGGGCAGGGAGGTTTCCCTGGGTCTTGGGGCACAGTTCTGTTGATAATCTAGGCATTCCTTCTCTGAAAGATGAGGTCCTCCTGCCTTATGAGCCCAGCTGACCCCAGAAGACCTCGCCTATAACAAAAGAGAAGAACAGACAAGTGAAATGATTCCTCCCTGGTGTGTAGCAGGGGGCTCGATGGCCTTTCCCAGAAGCTTGGCCAGCTGCCCCAGCTCCGGGGCAGAAAGGTGCTCAGAGCTCATCTGCTAAAGCTCTGATGCCAGGCCCAAATCCAGAAAGGCTGAGCTCTGGCTGAAGATCACACAGCGAGAGCTGGGGCATGGGCCAGAACTGAGGGCCCCTGCCTCGGACACAGCAGTCTGCCACTATACCCCAAACTTGGTGACAAGAGCTCCTTGTCATTGTCCAGCTCCAAGATGGTATCCCGTAAGGCTGTGGCTGCTCTGCTGGTGGTGCATGCAGCTGCCATGCTGGCCTCCCAGACAGAAGCCTTCGTCCCCATCTTCACCTACGGCGAACTCCAGAGGATGCAGGTAAGAACCTCCTGCTGCCTGCCTTGCTAGCAAGGCTGAGGTCACTATGACCTACATCAGCAATACCAAGGAAAGTGTGAAGGACCAGGACCCAAGATAACCCCCAGTCCCAGCCGCCTCTCCGGCCACCTTTGTGCCTTCACTGGCATCACTCAGACATGTCAGTGGCTCATATGAGCAACATCTTTCCCACCCCTGCCTATCCTTTGGAGGAAATTTTTAATTAACAAGCCAATAAATATTTACTGAGCTGCTCTGCAGTATAAGAGGCCACCCTGGGCGACGGGCCCGAGCATGCAAAAGAATCTCAGCACCTCCCCATCTCCAGGGAGCAGGCTGGGGTGCCAAGACACGAACATATGAAAAATTAACTAACAGTCGCAGACAAAAGAGAGATGTCACAGGCAGGGCATGATGAATTGCCCCATCAGTGGTGCTCAGGTTCAGAGGAGGGAGAATCACCAAGGGCTGGAGCGTGCTTGGAAGCCTGCAGGGAAAAGGTGGAACTCAGCTGGGGGCCTTGAGAGATCAGGAGCAAGGGACCAATGGGAGCCAGCACCCAGAGGCGGGAAACAAGGCTGTGGTCCATGTAGCAGTGGCCAAAACCTCCTCTTTAGGGTCCAGAAGAGAACCAGGCAGGCCTCGTGGAACTCAGGCAGTGGAGCCTAAGGAAAACGGAACTGCTGGCTCTGCCTCCTGGCTGCCTTTTACTTTAGACTTCAGGGGATGCTGAGTGTCTATGCAGATGTTTGGTTTCTTTAATCCCAGGAGATGAAGAAAGGGACTTTCATGCTCCACCCTGTCTGAAACTGAGACTCCAATAGGGATGAATACATGAGTTAGTGCCCAGGGAGGTCTCGAGGCTCTGGGGCACAGCGTGTCTGCAACTGCCCACTCTATGCGGGGAGGTGTGTGGGGATCCACATTCCCAGTGAACAGCGCTCTTTTGAGGGGCAAGGCCGAATCCAGATCCCCTTCTTCAAGCAGACATGGGAACTGGGTAGGTACTACAGCAGGCCCCAAGACACTGTCTTCCACGCTGGCACGCTCTCCACAGGATGACCGTTTGTTCTAGAATCACCATGTCTCAGGGCAGGCCAACAGCGGAGTTCCGAGAGTGTCACTAGAGAAAGCAAAGGAATGAGGATCTCAGTGCTCGGGGACCTGGCCGGCAGCATGCCGGGCAAGACTGGTGGCTGGACAGGAATAGCCAAACCCAGTGGAACATAAACTAGCAAAATGGCAAGCAAAGGACACTGCATTAATCTGCTGCATGGCTTTTCTCCTCATAATTGCCAGGCACCGGGATTTTTATGAAGAAGCTACAAACTCCCTCCTCCATAATTTATCTCCTGTCTTGCCTCTTATAAATCACCTCCCAGGGACTCTGAGTTCCTGGGCCACCCCATGGCGCCCTCCCAGGCTAGGCTGACTTGCTACTTTTTTAATAGACTCTCTGCTAAAAAAGACACATTTTCATACTTAATATGCATGAAGGGCAGCCATTATTTTCAGCTTTTTAAGTTAATTAACAGTAACAATCTGGGTGCAATGTTTTAACTACAAAGGAATGGATTCCTCTTCAAGTTGACCTATTATTGGTGGGCAACCTCAAGGGCCATCCATGAGCCACTAGTTAGTATCTGAGACTCCTTGTGCAGAAGGCTTCTGGGGGGAGGGTTCTTTCAGTCTGTAGGGAGCTGGGGGCAAGTAGCGTCCTGGGCAGATGGAGACAGGCGAGGGGCCATCAGGGTGGGTTGAGGGAGGGCAGTTCTGTGCAATTTTCTGCTCTGCCCTTAGGAAAAGGAACGGAGTAAAGGGCAAAAGAAATCCCTGAGTGTATGGCAGAGGTCTGGGGAGGAAGGTCCTGTAGACCCTGCGGAGCCCATCGAGGAAGAAGGAAACAAAATGATCAAGGTGAGCAGACAACGGGGACAAGGGAGAGAAACTCAGAGCAGGGCATGCATTCCCCTGCCTGGCCTGGAGGCAGGGCCCACGCACCACAGCGAGCCTCAGAGTGTCCTAGGATACAGCAGTGAGCTCCATCCTCGTAGGGAGAGACGGACTCCAACGAGATAAATCAACCGTTTCAGGCACCAGATAAGGAAGTAGGAGAGTGACTGAGTGGGGTTTGGAGGACTGCTTTGTCCCTGAGATGGGTCAGGGAAGGCCTCTTGGAGGAGGTGACATTTGACTTGAAACCTGAATGAAGAGAAGGAGCCACCTGTGCAAAGAGCTGGAGCAAGGACCTCCTGGGAGAAGGAACAGTGAGCACAAAGACTGAGGAGCACTGGTGGGCGCCACGCCCTTGTGGCAGGCGCGAGTCGAGTGGGCGAGAGGGCAGCATGGCCAGCCCAGGCAGGGCCTGCATGCAGCGCCACTGGGGATTCAAAGCAGGGAAGTCACCGGAGCCCTCTTAGAGCTGGGGCAGCATGAGTGGAGGCAGGAGGCCAGGCAGCAGGTGCTGCAGTCCTCCAGAGAGAGGTGGCGAGGGTGCCAATTCCTCCCCTCCCAGACAGAAACCCAGGAGCCAGCCACAGGCCTCAACACCCAGGGCCGACTGTTGGGGCTGGGGAGAACCTTCAGCTTGTCCCGTGAGCTCTTTTATTTCACAGACTCGTTTATTTGGGTGATCAATAAATGAGCCCCTACTAGGTCTGAGGCACTGTTCCCGGCACTGGGGACGGGGTGGGGAACAGACAAAATCTCCGCCCTTGTGGAACTCACACTCCACAGCGAAGAAGAAACAAGATTCTAGGACGACTGAAACAGACCACAAACAAGGTAAAGACAGGAAGCAAACTCAACAGCGTGGCAGGCAACGACATGTGCGATGGAGGGAAACAGAGCCACAGGGAGCCGTGGTGGGTTATGGATCTCAGTGGGCAACAGCAGGCGTCCTAGGAGACGGTAGGGGCACACAGACCAGAAGAGAGCAAGGCATGAACCACAAGGATTTCTGGGGGAAGAGGCTTCCAGGTGGGAGGGACAGCCAGTGCAAAGTTCCTGAGGCAAGAGAGGGCCCGGTGCATTCAGGAAGAGTGAGGAGGCCAGAGACTGGTGGAGGGGCAGGGGCAGCTGTGGAGTTCACAGGCCACTGGACTCTCTGTTCACTCTGCTGAAGTGGAGCCCTCGGGGGTTCTGAGCAGAGGAGGGACGGATCTGATTTACATTTTAAAGGGGTCTCTCCAGCTGCTGAGAACAGACTGAAGGGACCGGACAAAGGCAGAGTTAGGGAGGCCGCTGAGGAGGCTGCTATAGTATGAGACACAGAGAAAAAGAGAGAGGGAGACTTCGGCCTCAGGCGGTCTTGGTGGAGGCAGGGCAAGGAGGTTGGATGTTTTAAATATTTTGGAGGTAGAAGCCCACAGGATTTGCTGAAAGAATGGATATAGGATATTAAGAAAAAGTGAAAATTGACTTCAAGGGTTTGGGCCAAAACAACTAAAGAGGGATTTGCCACTCACAGAGACAGAGTAGTCTGTGGTTGGCTGCAGGATGGCAGGAGGAAGATCAGGAAGTCAGACTGGGCCTGAAAACCATGAGATGCTCTTGGGTATCCAGGCAGAGACATTGCCCAGGCAGGTGGACATACAAGTTTGGAGTTCAGGAGAGCCGTGAGGGCTGGAGACACACGTGTAGAAGTCATCCGTGGTTAGAAGGAATTTCAAGCCAGGCGTGGGTGAGCCATTTGAGGAGACAGGTATGGATGGAGAAGCAGAGGCCCAGGCCTGAGTGTGGGTCACTTCCACACAAAGGGACCCGAGGGGCGAGAAGACTGACATCCAGAGAGAGCAGGGGCCTTGTCACAGTCACACAGGAGTCAGGGCAGAACCCAGCTGGACTCCCACCTCCCACTGGACACAGGCCAGTGATCCTTCCCTGTGCTGTCAGGCCCAGAGAACAAGCTGGGTGCTGTCGCTGCACTCAGCACTCAGCAAGGTGGGGCTCCTTTCCCCCCACATCCACTCCGAACTCCTTGGGCTCCTGAGGAGGGAGCTGGGAGGGAATCCAGCAGCTGGCGAGCAGGAGCACACTCAGAATCACCTCCTAAATGCACCTGAGTCGGAGTTTGAGGCACTAACTCCAAGGTTGCCCGGGGACATGGTACGTCCATGAAGCCTTCTTGGGAAGGCTTGGGTGGGGCCCCTCTCACCTCTCTCCATCTCCTAGAACCACGACATACAGAGCTGGGAGGGCCCGTTGGGAATGCCCAGTCCAGCCTCCTCGTGTTCAAGTAAGGATCCTACTAGAGGGTCTAGAGGGAGAGGCATAACCACAGCCGGGAATGGCACAGGCAGGACTGGACTGGGGCCCTTCAGACACCCTTCAGGCACCCTGAGCTCCCAAGGGTCTAGGAGGCTCATTCCTGGAACTCAGGGAGCCCGGTGGGAGGCAGAGGCCAGGAGTCTTCCAGTCTGCTGGCTAGTTTGTGCAGCAAGAGCATTGATCCAGGAAGCTCTGGCAGGGGGGCGACAGGGAGATCAATCAGTGCCCTAGGCTCTGCCTCGAGGCTGCAACTACCCCTTTGGTGGAGAGCCTCCAGACAAGAGGAAAGGTAGCCTGGTGGTCGTGGGGGCACAGACCCTGGAGCCAGGCCCCTTGGATGTAACATCTTCGTCCTCTGCTCCTTACCACCTGTGTGGCCTTGAGCAAGTTATTCAATCTCATTGTCCTCAGTTTCCTCATCTGCAAAATGGGAACAGTAACCGTCCCTACCCCACAGAGCTACTGAGAGGTTAATATACATAAAGCACTTAGAATAAGTGTACAGCGTAGAATAAGGGTAAGGCTCCACAATGTTGGCTATTACTGTTGAGGGGGGAGTGAATTCCCTCCTCATGAGAAAAGCCTGCTGGGGTTCCTGCTGACCACCCCCCATCCCAGCATCCCCATTAGGGAAGCTGTGTTGATCCTCTCAGCAGGATTCAGCGACCTTCAGGATCCAGCCCTCTGGTTAGAATTAGGGGAAGTTGGCAGAATTCCCAGCCATCCCTAGAGGCTCTAGTGGGGTCTGCAGGGTGATGTGGCTCCCGTGGGTCCCTCCTGCCACCTGTAGTGCACCCAGGGGTTAAAGGCCCTCTCCACACCTCTCCCTTGTTATTAACGCTGTCTTATTTCACAGCTGACTGCTCCTCTGGAAATTGGAATGAGGATGAACTCCAGACAGCTGGAAAAGTACCGGGCCGCCCTGGAAGGGCTGCTGAGTGAGATGCTTCCCCAGCACGGTACGGGGAGAGCGGGCGTCTCTGCAGCTTGGCCAGCCTCCGCCCACCCTGGCGTTAATACTCCAGAGGCAGGGTTTCAGGGTGGCAATTTGTTTGGCGGCTTTGCACTTGAGAATGTGGAGCTGTCTTCTCCCTGGGCTATGCTGTGATACCTGCTGGTGGCTGCAGAGCCCCAGCTCTCCAGGGAGGCGGGGCTCAGGCTGGGTTCCCAGCAACCCACCCCACTCTCCTGCTCCAGATATTTTAATTCCCTCCCACAACATCACCACGGGGTGGTTGCTCCGAAGGAAACCTTGGTGCACTTTCCCGTCCCCATTCATTCTGCAAATTAAAGTCCTGAGCCCCATTTGGCCTTGCCCAGTTCAAGGTCTGCCCGAGTTACGTGAGCAAAGCTACATCTCCTCTGACAAACAGCCACTAATTACTTCTCATAGTCCCCAGGAGGAGAGAAGAGACTCGAGGAAGTGCTGTTAGTGATGGAGAAACTGGGAGGTTAAATGACTTGCCCCAGGCTATAGACAGCTTCCAGGCTCCTTGCAAAACATCCCACCTTCTTGCCCAGCCTGCCCTGGTGCCCCCTCCTCCCTCCGACCTGCAGGCAGGTTTTAGAGGGCAGTTTCATAAGCAGACCTGCTGATGGTACTGAGTGCAAACCTCTGCTTTTCTCCAGCAGCCAAGTGACGGCCATGCTGGGAAGAAGGTGGACAGATTTGGGAGGACTCTCCCGCCCAAGTGAGGCCCTGGGAATTTGCACAGCCTGCCAGCTGGGCTTGGAAGGAAAACATCCTTTCCAAAGCAAATCCCCCTCCAGCAAATAAAGCATGAAATATACAGAAATGACTCTTATTTAATATTTTAATTCCCAAAGGGCAAACTCAGGTCGCAAGAAAAAGGCGGGAAAAGTAAAGCTCAGAGAAAGTTGGCCATAAATAATGCTTACATTAACATTATGTGCCTTTTGTGAGTTCTAAGTTCAAATATTAACTCAGATCCAAACAACTGAAAGAGTACCACTCAATGGCCCTTCCATTATAGGTGAGGAAACTGATCATTTTTTTGCCCACACACCAAGCCAGTGACAGAGTGAGGACTGGAATTCAGGTCTCCCAGGTCTCGGTCCATTTTTAGTTTACTGACACGCTCGAGGTCTAATGGGCCAGAGAATTTTAGGGCCTCTGCACTCAACCCCTTGCCAAGTAACTTCCAACCAGCCCTTTAACCTCAATGAGCCTGTGCAAAACCAAGGTGGTAATATCTGCCTTGAGATCTGGGATGGAGGCACAAGCAAAGAGCAAATTACTGTTATCACCTTGTGACTATCAGCTCCAGCATCCGCAGCAGAATTACACAGCCAACCCACTTATTTTTGCCTTCTAAACAAAACTGGATGGGAAATTTCATTCTAATTTAATTTTACATTAATGAATGCTCATTTATTTATAAACTGGGGCCACATCGGAATTGCAGCTCCCTCCATCCATAGGTTACCAGCAATTAGACACAGTGTCCATTCTGCATTTCCACCCAGGCTTAGCCACAGAAAGTAGTTACCAGAATAAGAACTCCAACGCTGAACAAGAGACCTTTGTTGGAGGTACTCTGAATTCTACCGAGAAACACTCAAACCTTCCATGGGCTCCCACCCCTGCCACGCTGCACATCCACACGCATTTCCAGCACATATACCGATCAACCCCGGAGCAGCTGCAGGTTCCTGGGAAATGCTGCCAAGACGTCCGGTAATAGAGAGAGAGGGCTGCGGCAGAAGGGCATGCAGGGGGCAGTGGGGGAGACACAGAAATCTATAAAACCTGCTGCTGGGAAGATCTGGATCCAAGACTCCTCCCTGCCCTTCCGAGCTTCACCAAGCCAGTTCACCCCATTTTCTGTAACACACTCCAAGAAGCAGAGAAACAAGATGCTCATGGTGGTCCCCTTCCCCGTGGAAAACGCATTTTGTGTCCTTCCCTCACCCTCTGCTGGAATCTGACCCTGTAGCGAGACTGCCTTCCCCCATCACCAGCAGGGGGTGCCCATTTCTGGGGCGGGGCCCCAGCACTGGCTGGGGCATTTTCCCTGAGATTCTGGGTGTTGAAGAGCCTCTAGTTGAAATAGACATCCACCACGGAGGGACATGGGGTCCCCAGGAGACTGCCCAGGCGGTCTGCACTGTTTAGGTGGGAATTGATTCAGCAACCACAGCACTGGGGAAGGGAGAGGGTGCATTCTGCAGAAAAGCCCCGTTCAAAGCTCAGCGCTGCTGCCCAACAGCCCCAACCCTCACCCTGTGCCCTCTGATGTGCTTCTCGGTAATGAGCTGCAACAGAGACCCAGCTACCACCAACATCTGTATGCACAGTGCCCTGGCCGCTTGTTTAGATGTGTCGGCTCCTTTCTTCTCTGGTTTTCCTCCTCCTGCCACTGTTCGATTTCTCACAATCAGCTCAAATAATTCTTTTTTCACTAACAAGCTCCTCCAGTTTCCAGGATAGCCAACTCGATTGCTTATGGTACATCCACAGCTTTGGAAGAAATTAAAATTGGGAGGAGGTTGGGGAGGATTCTGTGAGCTGAGTGAAGAGAAAATGACCATGCTTTCACAAAACAGAAGAAAAAGAGACATGCTCCTGTTTAAAGCAATAGAATGAGTGGGACCAGAGACCAACCAGGATCAGAGATAGGGAGGGTAGCCGGAGTAAGCAGGAGAGCAAAGACGCCATTCCTCTTCACACCTCACCCAGGCTTATCCAGTAACATCTGCAAGAATCTCTCCAGATATCTGGCAATTACAGAGAGGTACGGATTACCCCATGTTCATCTGGAATGTACTTTACACTTAACAGGACCACAGGTCATTACAGTGCAACTTGAACCTAGCTTCACAAAATGGAGATGATGAGGTATTTTCTTGGTAACCGCATCAGTGTGATTTTAGCATTACTGAGCTATGTGGATTTGCCATGAAATTGAATAGTTAAAAGCAAAGAGTAATTGCCTGATATCTGTACGCTGTAATTTAGTGTAATCTAATCATGGACAAAGCCCAAAAGAAAATATTCTCAAAGCATTACATTTTTCTTCATACACAATTTGTTATTGACATTGGGTAATATATTTCATGCCTTTGAAGGAACTCTTACTCATGGATATCAAAGTGTGAGAGCAGTCAAAAGAGTGAGGGATTTGTTTAATTTTCAACAGATTATGAAATACCATTCTGGCATTTCTCTGTGACTCCATTTTCCCCCTGAGCTGATGCGCCCTCAGACCTAGAGAGAGAGAAATAGAGTGCCCTCCTCTTCCATAAGGCACTGAGATGGAACAGCGGGAAGCTGGGTGTTTCTGGGGTCATTCCAGTCAAAATCTGAGCCCCAAATGACCCCACGCTTCAACCACAATCTCCCGGCGCCCTGCCCCCACTGGAATGTCACCTATCATGTAGGTGGGGAAGCCCTGAATAGCTGAGGCGACACGTGAGGCCCTCCATGAGGGGGATCAAGGACGAGTCCGTGGTCCCTGAGTATCTTTGAGTACCTGATAACTGTGTGCAGGGCTTTTTGCAGGAGGAGGAGGAGAATGGAACCCACTAAAAGATTTATGGCTGTGATTATTATAAGGCTCTGCCAAGACAGAGAGAGGTCAGTGGGACGGAAGGGAGTGTGGCAGCCCCCCGGGAATCCAGAGCGTGCTCCGAGCAGCCCTTCACCTCTGCCAAATGTGTGGATGTGGTTACTAAGTAGATTTAGATATTGGAGCTTATTTTTCCTCTTCTGCCTTTAATACATCAGGAAGACGGACCACAGCCTGAGCTGCTGCTCACCTTAAAAAAAAACAACACAGCAGTGATGAGAAAGGAGGGCATGCAGAGCAGCCTCTGACTTTGCAATATTGCCCTTTTCTTTACAATATGCCTTCCTGCCGTGGACAGGCCCAGCAGGAGAGCCAGGCTGAAGGCACAGAAAGGCTGGCTCCCAGAGGCCCTGGTGGGCTTCGTGGGCAGCTCCCAAAGGGGCAGCAGTGGCAAAGAAGAGCTGAGGTCGAGCCCTTCCAAGCAGAGGGGAGCGTGTGGATGGTTGTGTGGAGGAAAGCAAAAAGGAACACGCCAACTTCACTAAACCAAAGAAGGGCTATAAATCTGGGCAGGAACGTGACTGGAGCTGGGAGTCCAGGATGAAAAGGAAAGGCCCAAAAACTGGGAGGAACGCCTGACTAACTTGTGAAGTTCCTTCTCAGAGGAGGTGGGGAAGGGGAGCATTGATCAGCAAATTCGCTGTTAAGTGGTCACTGGGTGTCCCTTGGTGCACACCCAAAGCCCTGCCTGTAGGATCCTGCAAGACAAGGCCATCGACAGCCAGAAGCCACCATGGAGGTAGAAGGGCTGAGCATGGGTGGCCAAAGGCCACAACTCCAAGCACAGTGGGTTCTACACCAGAGGGAAGACAACAGAGTTCTGGGGGAGGGGCTGTGGGCCACTTGACCCTAGATGTGTGGAACGGCAGCAGTGTCCACCAACATAAGGAAGCTGACAAAGCCCACACTGCGTGCCACCACTGGGGGTGGCTCCAGTTCAGTCCATATTTTTAAATCGCCCTGAGATCCATTGTGATAAAATAGACCATAACTGTGTGAAATGCTGTAACGATAACTTTGTTTAAGCATTAGTTTCAAGCCCTCTTAGAATACGTGGGGCCAGTACTGATGCCGAAAGGCTCATTCTTTACATATTGAACTGCACAGCTGCAAGGAGCTGCACAAACGTTACCAACTCATTTGTCATGCAAACAGTGCTTCAGAAAGAAATAAAATACTATTATGTGGTATATGCGTTAGGCAATCACTATATCAAATTCACGGCATTCCGTGCAAACACAGACAGAGAAAAGGAAAACAACACTTGGTGAGAGAAATCACACCACATGGGAGCAGCTAAGTCGGGGGAGATGGGGAGGCCAACAGTGGAAGCTGACCAAGCTGAGGCTGTAATTTTCCCGGCAATTGTGGCCAGGGTTGAATACCCCTGAGGTGGAGCAAGTGGCAGGAATGCAAAACCCAGACAGAGGAGCATAGCATTGCCCAGCGTGTCAGGGAGGGGAGGGAATAAAGTGAGGAGTGGGTAAGGGGTCTGTTGGGACAGATACGGGGATTCCAGGGAGAAGGGGCCTGGGGGAAGGGGAGAATGGAATAGCAGGGGTAGAAATAGATGGAACCCATTGGGCCGGCAATAAATGTTTGGGAATGGGAGTTGAGGGATGTGGAAGGAAGATTATAAACTGGCTCTATTTTCAGTTGCCACATTCCCTTGCTTCCCTTAGGAGTTTCCTGCTAAGAGCCTTCATGTAACCAAATCACCTGCCCTGTGGGAGACTCTACACAGCACTGACACTGCAAAGATGTGGGTTAAGTATAAACACGCATGAGCGTGTGCCCCGCACTGTCCCACGCACCTTAGCCAAACTACCTCTTCTAATCCTCACAGCAACTCTATTGAGGTTTACTGGCAAACAAGCTAAAAATGTTAATTGAATATGATCACACATCTAATAGCTGTGAGTAGGGATTTGAAACTGAACTGACTGGCTCCAAAGCCCACATCCTAAGCCACCAGTGAGGCTACAGGACCGTGTATCTCTGGAGTCTTCTCCCACCCATGTCTCCTTGTAAAAATCCCATTACGCAGACACAGGCCCTCCGCAGAGAAGCCTCAACTGCCCACTCGAGCCCAAGGGCATTTTGCTCCCCTGCCTCCACTATGGAAACTGCGTCCCCTCCAGGCTGGCGCTCCTTGGGGGCCAGTGTCTGTCCTAAGGCCGGGATCACACCTACTTGGTGCTCAGTGTCGCCCAGTTAACAAGCCCGAAGTCGGGACAGGGTCTTGGAGCATGCCTGGCGTGTACTATACGGCCCAAATAAAACCGGATCACACATCAGTCCCCAAGCCCAGATAGGCAAATGATCCTGTCTCTCCATTCGGGGCAGTGGCTTCGTTCACCATTAACCAATTCATCCATTAAATCAACACTGACTTTACTGAATGCTTACCACGTGCCAGAGGCAAAGCTAGGGTTGGAGGACTCAAAAGATTAATACTGTTTGATCTAACAAACAAACGGAAGTGGGAGAGCGGAGAGAGAGGGAAAAACAAAACAAAACAAAAAATTTAATCTCCCTTGGACCGTCCCACCATGGCGGCTCTAAGAGCCACGTCAGACCTCCTCATCATGGCCGACCCATAGGCCGAGCGCAAACCTTCCCAACATGGCGGCCGACCTTCCCATCATGGCGCGGGGCCCCGCCCGCTCCGCCGCGCCTGCGGGAGGGAGCAGTTCCGGGTGCGGTGCGCGCCGGGGGCGGGCGGGGGGCGGCGTCCTGGCCATGGCCGGCCTGTCGGACCTGGAACTGCGGCGGGAGCTACAGGCCCTGGGCTTCCAGCCAGGACCCATCACCGACACCACCCGGGATGTCTACCGCAACAAGCTGCGCCGCCTGCGGGGCGAGGCCCGGCTGCGCGACGAGGAGCGGCTGCGGGAGGAGGCCCGGCCGCGGGAGGAGGCCCAGCCGCGGGGCGAGGAGCGGTTACGGGAAGAGGCCCGGCTACGCGAGGATGCGCCGCTGCGCGCCCGGCCCGCCGCGGCCTCTCCGCGGGCGGAGCCCTGGCTCTCCCAGCCGGCCTCGGGCTCGGCCTACGCGACCCCTGGGGCCTACGGCGATATCCGACCCTCCGCGGCTTCCTGGGTAGGGAGCCG